AGCGCTGAGGCCAGGACCACTGAAAGCAGGCCCAGAGAAGTCCGTACCAGCGTCAGGCCCCACCACTGCTGCTGTTCCTGGGGGCGTGCCGCATCCCGTTGTTCCCCGACTGATTTGTTAAGGGCCTATTTTGTGAAGAAATAACACCCAATTTATGCCTTAGAAGCTTCATTCAATTTAGAACGACATAGAATGTCATGACTCAGGCAATTTGAAGATCCCACTAGAACGTCTAGACACACCTACTGGGAGAGTGAGTCACACGCTGGGGACCAGTGTGCGCCCTGATCTCACCCCGCTGCTTCTGCAAAGTTTCCTTTGAAAAGAACCGTTTGCTTTGGCAACCGCGGTGGCACTCCACAGAGATGCTGTGGAGTTGAAGCGCACCTCAGCAGGACTCACTTCAGAGTGGACTTGCATGTCTCTGAGTCCTTCTGTCCTCTTTCCCACCCTTTGGTTCCACCCCCCCACTATGACATGTCTGGATGGTGAGTGGGTGAGGAGGGATGGGGCATGGGAATGAAGGTGGTTGCAGACCAAGCCTAGGGGTAAATTTTGCCTCCAGAGACCTGAATGTCTCCAGCAACTCAAGAAGCGGCCCCTCTATCTGTCCATATTTACCTCGGGACTTCGTTGCTGCCTGGATGAGCATCACCAGGCTCCTTAAATTCTTTCTCTTTTTTCTGGAGAGGTTTTTGCTATAGGGTGTGTGCACTTTCCAGAAAGACAGAGAGAGACAGAGAGACAGAAAGGAAGAAATCTCCCCCCAGGGGGGGTGGCCACGCCTCAATCCCCTCTCCTTCATTTTCCTCTCTGGATTTTGGGCATGCACGCACATGCACCTGAAGTGAGTTTTAAGTCACCGGATCCGGGACTCGAACTGCATTCGACCACATGCGAGTCCAGCAACATAGTCATTACACTAACTGCTGGTCCCCGGTTTCTTAAATTCTTAGCATCTTAGTTGGTGAGCTGCATCTAAGGGAACGTGAGAAGTCATTTCTGAAGTCCATTGAAAGGAAGGATGTCTAGCATTTGTGAGGAGGAAGGAGCTACCTGGAACCAGCTGTAAGTGACAACTAGAAGCCTGGGACACCATAGGACACCAGCAGAATCTGCAGTGCCAAGACCTCCTCTCCATGTCCCGGCATCCAACTCAACAGGACAAGCTTCAAACAGGAAAGTCAGGACTGACCCAGACCACGGAAATCCACAGAATATGGGAATTATGGGAGACTTAGAGTTTCTCCTTGTCTCACCCTCACCTCCTCCCCACCATCTCTGCTGCTTGACAACCATTCTAAAACTAGTGAGCCTCAGATTTTTGCCTGCCTGATCACCCAAGCTTTTGGCCCGAAGGCCACTCCCTGTTGTTCTATCTAGCCAGGAGCCAGAGAGGCAGCCATTGCTGCATGGCCACAGACACGGCAGCTCTCCTGTTCATCTTGGTAGAGACTTTGGGTCTTGCTGGGAGGAGGCATCAGCTGCCCCAGCTCTCTCCTCCTCTGTCTGTCAAGAATTAGTCAGTGCACCTCTGACTTGCTGTCTGGCAGATGCATTTCATGTGTCTCTGCACATCCAATTCCAGTCCTACATGCTGCTTCCTGCAATCTGACTTTGAAAGGCTTCTTACTTGGTGAGGAAGAAGGGGTCTCTCCTACATCTGGGGGAGTGAGTAAAGAGATAGGCCAGCTCTGTGATCATAGCCTATGGCAATCATGCATTATCTCATTTAATCCTAACAACAAATCAAGATGGTAGGCTAAGGCTATCCATCTATCCACCCACCTACCCACCCACCAACCCATCTGTCTATTCATCTATATACTCATCTACTCACTCGTCTACCTACCTAACCATCTACTCATCTACCCATCCAATCATCCATCTGCCCACTCACCCATCTACCTACCCACTCATCTATCCACTCATCTATCCACCCATTTATCTGTCCACCCACTCATCCACCCATCCACCCACTCATCCATCCTTCCATCCACCCACTCATCCATCCATCGACCCATCCATCTACCCACTCATCTACCTACCCATCCATCCACTCATCTATCCACCCATTCATCTGTCCACCCACTCATCCACCCATCCACCCACTAATCCATCCTTCCATCCACCCACTCATCCATCCATCGACCCATCCATCTACCCACTCGTCTACCTACCCATCCATCCACTCATCTATCCACCCATTCATCTGTCCACCCACTCATCCACCCATCCACCCACTAATCCATCCTTCCATCCACCCACTCATCCATCTACCCATCAATCCAACCCCCCACTCATCCATCCATCCCCCTACCCATCCACCCACTCATCCATCCATCGACCCATCCATCTACCCACTCATCTACCTCCTTATCCATCCACTCATCTATCCACCCATTCATCTGTCCACCCACTCATCCACCCATCCACCCACTAATCCATCCTTCCATCCACCCACTCATCCATCCATCCACCCATTCATCTATCCCCTGTCCAGCACATACTAGTGAGTGCAGCTGTGTGATTGTTTAAGGTGTGGCATCAGCACAAAGATCTCTACTTATATTCTAGAGCAGACCTGGGAGGGTGGGAGGTGAGATTAAAAATATTTTTTAAAGCAAGTAAATTTTTTTTCCCTGGATGACTTCACCTTATTCTGCATGGGCTCTAGAATCACACATCTGAATACTCATTCAGCAGTTACCAAGAAGCCATTATGTCCTTCATGCTCTATGGAGCTCTGGGGATCAATGTGTCCCTGCTGTCCAGGCGCTCACAGTCTATGTGAGCAAAGGCAACTAACACAGTAGATAAAATGCAGGGAAAGCGATGTCACAGAGGCGTGTATGAAGGGTGGGGGCCCTCCACATGGAGGCCTCCTGCTCCTCCTCGTCTGCCACCTCCCACCCTCCCTTCTGTGCCCACAGCACTGCCCCCTCCCCTGCCTCCTCCCTGCCCATGCATGCACTCTCCTCTTGGCCCTCCAGCGACCCCACCCAGTGGCTCCCTTTGGAGTGATGTAAATTGATTAACTGAGTACTAGTTTTTGCTTGCCCTTCCAGAGAACTTATTTGCTTTCTAACCGGTTTTTAATGCTGTGTCACAAGGGAGACTGGTGTCATTGTGGGGATGACACTCTGCCAGCAGACAGGGAGGGGAGGAGGCCAAGCTCAAGGCACTGCAGGCAGCGCCCCCCTCTTCTCATGGTGCCGGCTCATTCCTGCAACCCTCATCCCCTCTCTGAAAACAGTTCTAGCCTCTGGATCACCCTTTGCAAAATACCTTGGGAGTTAAGAAATGTTTAGGGGGTCAAAACAACCTCAAAGATCTATCAGTCCTGGGAGTTCCAGCTTGTGATCCAGGAGTTCTCAGCAGTGTGTCCAAGAATGGCCTTTAGGGATGTGAGGACGCCTGGAATTCTCTGGAACTTTGGTGTAAACATGCTTAAGTGCATTCCCCACCCCACCCCACCAAAGACACAGCATATAGTTTTGATCAGGTTCTTAAAAATCTTGAAGATGGAAAAAATGGCCATCATTTTCTGTGATGGACTCAGGACTCCTTAGAGAAGTGAAGTGACCTAGAGATGGCTTGGCCATGGCGTTGGTGCGAGGAGGGGTCACATGGAGCTTGATCTCAAACTTGGGATTTCCAACCCGTGCTCCTCCTACTTGCCCTGTCCGTGAGGTCTTGGTCTTTGACTCCACACCTATCAGGGTCCTGTGGTAGACCCCGGCCAAGCCTGCTCACCTACCACGGAGAAGGGAGCTGCCTCAGTGGACAGTATGGAGCTAAGGAGTCCCTGCTCCACTGCACAGCACAGATTTCGGCTGACTTTGAATTCTTAACTTGCCATCATCCCCTCAAACAGAGAAATGTTGGGGCCAGCAGATTAAGGGGCTGGTTTCCCACATGGCCAACTCCTTGGTTTGAGTCGTGTACTCAGTGACTTGAAAGGTCATGCCGGGTGCATGTGCGTGAATGCCCAGCATCCCAAGAGCAGAATGGAGTAGAAGGGACTGCAGTGTGGCCATCCCCGTGAGGGCTTGGAGTAGAAGGGACTGCAGTGTGGCCATCCCTGTGAGGGCTTCTTTCTCACTTTCCCTCTCCTGGTCTCTCTCTGACTTTCTCTAGCAAGTGCATATGCCCAATGACAAAAACCTAAAAAAAAATAAATAAATAAAAAGGCAAAGCAAGCAAGCAAACAAACAAACAGAAACGCTGAATGTGAATGTTGGAGCTGTGCAGCCGGAGGCCTCAGTCCTGCCTTGGTACCCGTGACGAGGCACAGAGTGAGCACAGCCCGCAGCTGTTCTCTCCGCATGTCAGCTGTAGAGACACAACCACGCGAGCATGCCACTCATCAAATGCTGACACCTCTGCTCCCTGTGTCCGGGACAGGGCCACTGTGCTTGTTTGCAGACCAAAGACCCTGGGACAAGCTGTGCTGTCAAGTGATCAGTGTCAGTAAACAGTCTCCTCGCCATTGGAGGGCTGGGTCAGGTGATATTCGGCATAAGCACAGGGCAGGGGAAAGGAACGAGATTTCACAGAGTAGAAGAGTGCATTGGCCCAGAGAGCAGAGCTGTTTTTGCTATGGGCAAGCTGTGTCCTGGAGCCTGGCTCATGGAGCACTAGCTTCTCAGAAAGGGAGGCTGTAGGAAACTGGATCCTGCAGACTTGATGTGATGAGGTTAGCGAGGTGGAGGGGAACAGGCCTTAGCTCGAGGCGTGGTATCCCAGAAAACAGGGAGACTTTGGGTGGCTTACTGCCCTGCTCAGTTGTTCTGTTCCTCTTCTACACAAGTGGGAACATGGAGTTTGATAACCTGTACGGTTCCCTCCCCCCCAGCAAACGATATTCTAACTCATTCATTCTCTTTTAGAGCTGGCCGCAGCATTCCAAGCTTGGTCGCCACAGCTCAGCTTTTCTGCAGCCAAAAACCCAGAGCAGAGTACTGCCAGGACAGAGGCCTGGTTGGTCTCAGACTCACCAGCAGGAGTAGGGGCACCGCTTGCTGTAGCGGCAGCAGTAGAACTGCCACTCCCGATCCAGCACGGACTCGAAGTAGCGGCTCTGGAACCCGGCCACCAGCCCATTGTTGGAGCACGTCTGGTACCTGGAGAGGAGAGACCACCCCGGGAACAGTGACACATTAGCAGACCCTCCCAAGACCCCCCCTGCCACAGTCCACCCTCTCAGTGACCTAGATTCATAACCACTTATTCCATTTTATGCAGATAAGGCTTTGTTATAGTTGTAAAAAATGACAAATGCTCACCATTATATTCAAATGACTCAGCAGCTTTCAACTGAAGGGAATTTGGGGACCGTTGCTCCTGACACACCTCTGTGCATAAATGGATGGCTGAAGAATTTTTTAAGTGCAAGGTTGTCCTATGTATGCCATTTACAAGATAATCCAATTTGCTCACCAGAAAGACGGAGAGAGACGGAGAGACAGAAAGCAAGAAATCACCGCCGTCCCCTCCCCCCCCTGGGGAGATGTCCATACTGCAATCCCTTCTCCTCCATTCTCCTCTTGGGATTTTGGGCATGCATGCACACACGCCTGGTGTGAGTTTAAGCCACTGGGTCCGGGACTCGAACTGCAGTCAACTACATGGAAATCCAGCGACAGAGGCATTACTCCCATGGCTGGTCCCAATAATACAATTCATTTTACTCCAATTGGAAATAAAAAGAAACACAATGAATTAGTGATCTTCAAATAGACATTTCTTTTGCTGAAAAGCAGAGTCTGGAAACTGAGCACAAGGAGGGTCATTCACTCATTCCCTACACAGCTCAGGACACCCAGACAGACATGGCCGGTTACCCAGGTGCCCTGTGGGAAGGCTGGTTCTCACCCCAGGTCCTCACTGCTCATCCCGTCATCTTCCCGCCCACAGGAGACCACGTGGTCAGGCATGCTTTGCTCAGTACTTGCTCCCCAGAGCCTACCAAGGGAGCGGCTTACGGAAGGGCTCCCTGCAGACCTGCAGTGTCCCTGAACTCTCCAAGCTCCCTCTGAGGTCCCTGTCCTGCCCTAGCTGCTCAGTCCTCAGTCTTCCAAACTGGAACGCTTGCACTCAGGCCTCTTGCCAGACAGACAGAACATCCACTCTTTGGTTCACCTGTGCTGCTGCTGCTCTGGGAACGGGCCCTTTTTGTCTCCACTGCACCTTTGGAACACCACTAGCTTGGAACAACACAACCATCTTCCTTGTTCCCTCTCCAGGACCACTCCTCCTGTGCTTGCCCAGATCCACAGAGCTGTAAGGATTATTACTCTTTGATGTCATAATGAGGATGTTATTTTCTACCTGGCCACGGTGAGTTCTCAGCTTTTGTGGAATAAAATCTTTACAATAAGATCTTCAAGACTGAAGACTTTATCTACTGAATTTTGTTTTGTTTCGTTTTTGCCAAAAGGCATGTGTGCTTGCTGGAGAGAGAAAGAGAGAGACAGTGAGAGAGAAAGTGAGAAATCACCCCTCGGGGGATGGCCATGGCACAATCCCTTCTCCTCCGTTCTCCCCCTGGGATATTGGGTATGCATGGACCTGGCATGATTTTCAATCTGTCAGTTCCAGGACTTGAACCATAGTCAGTCATGTGGGGGCCTAGCACCTCAACCACTATGCCACCTACTGGCCCCTCTATTGAATTTTTAGAATTTTGTTTATTTTGTGAGAGAAGGAGAACCCCTCCAACAGGGTCTTGATGCTGATCCAGCCCCAGCCAGCCCTGGATCATGCCTGCTGGCGTACTTAGGGAGGCCACGAGGCACACACCGGGAACCATCCCACAGACGCCCACAGACCACCACCTTTTACCCTGTGCCACCGTCCACTTCTCTCCCTTAGCAGGTCTTTAGCTACCTGCGTTTCTGTGCGTCTCCCACCCATCCCAGCGTGGACCCATTCTGTCTTCCGAGCAGGAAGAACAGACAGGACTTTGTGGCTGCTGGAATTCGACCCTGTGCTTCAGGCAAAGAGAAGTTTCCAGAAAGAGTAAAGGTTGAAGTCAGATGGTGGACACACAAGCTAGAACGCTATCAGCACTTGGACTTGACTTTGTGTTGCTGGAAATGAACTTGTGAACCTGACGACACTTGATATTAACTATATCCCGTGACTCTGGTCGGAGAGCACCTGTCTTTCCCCTTCATCTATTATTCATCTCTTCATTCCTGCATACACATGCTTCATCTAGTCACTCACGACTCAGCGACTCGCGCTCTGCTGCTTCTGTAGTCATCACTGGGCACTGCGCCGAGGGAAGAATTGCAAGGTGGGCTTGGTTCTCTGCCAGCCGTGAAGATCCGCGTGAATTCCCTGTTCCCAGGACTTGCAAGCAGCTCTGACAGACTAGCGAGCTCAGCATGGAAGGAGAGCAATACTGCAAACCAAGATGGAATGAGACCCGAGGCCCTGCGGTGGGTAAGCCTCCCTGCTGCCATTGCTCACATCTCAATGGGAGTCGCAGCACTTGGTAAATCCTGGCACGTTGCAGGAAGCCACATGGTTAAATACCGAATCCATGGCATGCGAGAAGGGTAGCTTCAGCCTGTGGGGCTGATGTTCCAGAGCAGTGCATTCTGTTTAATTTTTAAATTTAATTTTAAAATTTTAATTTAATTTTTTTCTTGGTAGTTTGCTATAGGAAACATGTGCTCCTTAGAGAGATGGACAGAGAGAGAAGGTGAGGGATGCCCCAGGGGAATGGCCATGCCACAATCCTGTCTCCTCCATTTTCCTCAGGATTTGGGGCATGGATGCACATGTGCCTAGTGTGATTTGCAAGCCACCAGGTGTGGGACTCAAATTGCACATTCAACCATGTGACACCCAACCACCCTAACCTCTAAACCACCTGCTGGCCCTGTATTTTCTTATTTACATTTAATTGTCATAAATCTTTATGGCATTCAACATTGGTTTTCCAAAGTATGCATGCAGCGAGTGGCAATCAGATCAGGGATTTTGTTAAATACATTGTCTTCAGCAAAGAACCTTACATTCCTGTGTTTATGAAATATTTTGCTGAACCCCTCCCATGCACCCTCCACAGCTTACCCCTCCCATAGAGACTCTGGTGCCTATACTTGCCCTCCCTGCTGTTATGTCTCCAAGCCTTTCAATTTCTGCCAGAGAGGGCAGTGTAGACATTTGGTATATATTGAGTGGGGATATACTATGTTTGTCTTTCATAGACTGGCTTATTTCACTTAGCATTAAATCTAGATTCATCCACTTTGTATCGAATGACAGAGTCTCATTCTTTATGGCTGAGTAATATTCCATTTTGTATATGTGCCGTATACTTTTTAATCCAGGCATTGGTTCTTGGGTATTCAGGTTGATTCCATGACTTAGCATAGTCTACCCCAAATCTTAGAAGCACGGGGGAGAGGTAACTTCCACATGAGCTTCGAGGGCTGTAAGGAAAGCTCCTGTGTGCTCAGAGAGACGGTGCAGCACCCAGGCTCTGCGGCTTCTCCCCTGCATCCCTGAAGTGCTGCCTTCTCTAGCAGGGAGCCAGCTTGGTCTCCCTGGAGCTGTTGTTCCATTGTTTGGGTTTGTCTCGTGCACTCAGGCCTCTGCAGGGACAGAGTTCCCACGGTGGCAAGTTCCCTGGAGTAAAAATAAACCTAGCAAGATAAGCTGACCTGTCTCATGAGCACTGTTCGCAGACAATCTGAGTTCTACGAATTCCCCACTGGCTGACAGCCCAGTTGCTGCCCTGGGTCCTGCACGAGAAGTGTGTGTGTCATTTTCTCATGAACCACCTCAGATAAGGCTGTCCTCTGGACTCAGAGCCTGAGAACAGGGACTGAGAGTCAGACAACCATACGTCACCCTGCTCGCCCCACTCCGGCTAGGAGGGCGAGCCCGCCCAGGAGCACGGCAGTGTGGCTCATTCCTGCCAGAACCACACAGCGGCAGGTCCCACTCTCACCTGCAGGGAGCAGTGGGGCAGAGTGGTCAAAGCTTGGATGCGCTGCCGTGTCACCTGGAAGTCCTCACAGCCGTCAGGGCCCAAGTCCTCACCTGTGCCTGTGCACAATGATAGCGCACACTTGCTGCATGGTGGGCGGGTCCAATCCTAGGTCACCTCACAGGTCCCAGACCAAGCCATGGCACTCGCACTGGGTCTGCACCATGGCTCCGAGTACTCGTGAGGCCGCCCTGGCTCCCAGCTCCTGTCCGGGACATGCCGGCGGGCCCTCGTGTACTTCCTGAGCCGCTGCTGCCCTAAGAGCTTGCTGAGGTTGGAGTCGCCACCGCCCACTCTGCGGGAAGGTTCTGTAGCATCTCCTAGCCACCCCGACAGACGGCAAAGTCCACGAGGGAGAAGATCTCATCTTCGTTCTGTACTCCCCACACTGCCTGTGAGCGTTCGATGGGAGAACGGGTGGACCGGAGACGGCCCAGCACTCCCTACTATCAGAGGCAGAACTGGCTTCCGAGAGCCGTCACTGAGCCCTGAGCGGCCTGACACTCCTTCCAGGCAGTTTCGGTGGAGCGAGGGTGGGCGACCCAGCTTCCCACCCGGCCTCTCCCCTGGGGCACAGCCTGCCTTGGGCGTTCCTCTCGCCCAGCCTCTCATTCGCCGTCATCTTCTATTTATTTGTTTTTAGCTACCAGAGGGTGCATACGCTCCCCTGGGAGACAGAATGGGAGGAAGGGCCTCCAGTGGGACCTGGTCATGCCGCATCCTTTCTCCTCTACTTCATCCTGTGCGGAGTTTTGGACACACATGTGCAGGTGCCTGGTGGTTTGCTCAAGCTGCTAGGGCGGGATTTGAACCATGGTTGGTCATGTGGATTTTGACTCCCTTAACCAGTAGGCTATGGGCCACCCTTGCAATCACCTTTCAAAATGCTTCTCGGGCCAGCAGGTGGAGTGAGGGTGCTGAGCGCCCATGTGGCTGACCGCGATTCGAGTTCTGGACTCGGCGGCTTGAAGGTCACTCCAGGTGTGTGTGTGCATGCCCAAAATCCTGAGAGGAGAACAGAGGGTTTGCCATGTGGCCACCCCTCCACCCCGAAGGTGATTTCTAACTGTTCCTCTCTCCGTCTCTGTCTCTCTGACCTCAGCATGCTTGTGGATC